CTTCAAGACAACCACTATTTTCACCTTTAACATCATAGATATGTACCCATTTGTGTCCAGCTTCTTTCACTCAACATCACATTTGTGACAGTTGTGCATCTTGTTGAGTGTAGATGTAGTTCATTCATTTTTATTACCATACTAGAGGCCCAGCGCATGAAATTTGTGTGCGGGTTCAGTCCTTATGCCTGGCCTGCGATCAGGGCCACCTTCCCCAGCTGCCCGCAGCTGGCCCTGCCCCCCGCCACCACCCATCCTCGGTTCCCTGCTCGCCATTGGGTGATCGGTGCCTGACGGCCGGGGGAAGGGACTGAGACGTCGGCTGTTCCCACCTGCTTGCCGGCCCTGCCCCCGCCACGGGTGGCCATCAGGCGATTGGAGCGTGCTGGCCGGGGAAAGGGACCAAGAAGTGGTCAGTGCATCTCATAGTGACTGGTTCAGCGGTCGTTCTGGTCATTCTGCTGTTAGGGTCAATTTGTATATTACCCTTTTATTATATAGGATAGTATTCCACACAACTTATTTCTCTTCTGTAGATGGACATTTAGGTTCTTTCTTTTGGGCTGTTACAAAGAGAGGTGCTATAAACATTTTTGAACATGTCTTTTGGAGAATATGTGCATACATCTCTATTGGGTATATACCTAGGGATGGAATTGTTACTATAGAGCAGTGGTTCTCAACCTTCTGGCCCTTTAAATATAGTTGCTCATGTTGTCACTCCCAACCATAAAATTATTTTCGTTGCTACTTCATAACTGTAATGTTGCTACTGTTATGAATCATAATGTAAATATCTGATATGCAGGATGGTCTTAGGCAACCCCTCTGAAAAGGTCGTTCGACCACCAAAGGGGTTGCGACCCACAGGTTGAGAACCACTGCTATAGAGTCACAGGCTACCTGTTAATCTGGTATTAGTAGATAATGCGAAGCAGGTTTCTAAAGTGTTATGCAAGTTCTCTAAATTTTAGCCAGTTTGGTGCGTGAAAGCACATTATAACTTAAATGTGCATTTCTGGGATGATTGATAATTGGGGACTTTTTCATATCTTTGTTGGCTTTTTAAAAAAATCCAACTTCTTCCTCTTGAGAAATGCCTGTTGAAATATTCTGGCAATTTCAATTGGACTTTCTGCCTTGTTCTTGCTGATTTGTAAGTGTTCTTTATATATTCTGCATACAAGTTCTGTTTTGGATATATGTTGCAATTATCTTTTCTCACTTGGTGGCTTGCCTTTTCACTGATGGTGTCTTGATGAACAGGAGTTCTTAATCTAAATGTTGTCCAATGATCTGTTTTTTTTTCCCTTTATAGTTAGTACTATTTGTGCTTTAAAAGTCTTTGCCTACCTCAAGGTCATGAAGATATTTTTTTATATTTATTTTCGATCGTTTCATTGTTTTACCTTTTACATGTAGATTTGAAATCCATCTGGAATTGATTTTTTGGTATGGTATGCGGTAGGGGTCGAGCTTCTCCTTTTTTCTCCATGTGGGCGTTCTAGTTGATCCAGCATCATTTACTGAAAAGATAGACCATCCTTTCCCAATGCATCACAACAGCATCTTTGACATACGTCAAGGACACAAAATGTAGATCTGTTTCTGAACTCTGTTCTTTTTTTAAAAAACAAACTCTTAATTTTATTTATTGTCTAAAGTTTTACATATGTCTCCTTTTTCCCTGCTTGAATCCCCCCCATCCCCCCCCCCAGCTATTCCCATCCTCGGCAAGCCCCCACCACCCCAGTGCCTGTGTCCATTGGTTACGCTAATATGCATGCATACAAGTCCTTTGGTTGCTCTCTAACCACCCCACCTCCCCTGCCATTTGTCTCTGGATCTATTCTTGTTCATCAAATTATGTTGATCATTATATCCCACATATGAGTGAGATCATGTGATATTTATCTTTCTCTGACTGGCTTATTTCGCTTAGCATAATGCTCTCCAGTTCCATCCATGCTGTTGCAAATGGTAAAAGTTCCTTCTTTTTTATAGCAGCATAGTATTCCATTGTGTAGATGTACCACTGTTCTCTAATCTACTCATCTTAGGCTGTTTCCAAATCTTAGCTACTGTATATTGTGCTGCTATGATCATAGGGGTGCATATATCCTTCCTGATTGGTGTTTCTAGTTTCTGGGGATATAGTCCTAGAAGTGGGTGAACTCTCTGTTCTATTGGTCAGAGAGTATATCCTTGTTGCCAATTACTATTTCAATAGCTTTATGATAGGTGTTGGTGTCTGATATGGAAGTCCTCCAGCTGGCTCTAATTTTTCACCCCACCAAGCCACCTAGTACCACTTCTACCTCCCACCTAGCTTTCCACATATCCAGGCGGGTGTGATGGATTTGCCTGCTCTCATGGCTTGCTTATTTGTGGTTACCTGGATCTTTATCCCATCAAAGGCTTTTCAACTGCAAGCCAGCCAGGTGTCTGCAGTCGAACAAAGCCGATCTGCTGGGTAATTAAATAACGCGGGGAAGGGGGAGGAGTGAGTTAGGCGGGGCTGTCTACCCAGAGGGGTACAGTGAGGAAGTGGTCTCTCTACACTTGAGGACTGGCTTCTGGGGGGAATACCGGGAGAGCTAAACTCTAAAAATTCCCGGCAGAGGAGTGCAAGGCGAGGTCACCGCATGTAAAAGTCGCAGGGGGTCCGCCAGG